TCTGCCCCAGCTGTGCCCGGGGGGACGGAGGCGGCCGAAGCTGCGACCCCACCGCCTGCCCGGTCTCCGCTCCTGTCACGGGCGGTGTTGTCGTTGCAGCTGGAGATGCCGACCAGGACCTGGGCCCCGCCGAGCTCCTCTGGAGTAGAGACTCGCATCGCGCCGCCGCCCGCTGTCTCCTCGAGGAGGCACCGGCCTGCACCCCGCGTGCAGCCAGCCCCCCGTCTCAGCCTTCACCCCGTAAGTTCCCACTCGGGCGGATGGTCACAACCTCAGAGACAGCCTGGCTTTCTGCTCCTACGTTTTTCTCCTCCAGTAATTATTTTTCCTAGAGCAGGTTTTCACATCCGTGTCACCTTCTGGCTGGCACAGCTCTACACTACAGTATTTTCTTTGCTTATCTAAGGGGAAATGCCAAATTTATGTTACTTCTACTATTTTTTATGTCTGTGAAGTGAGATATTTTGTAAAAGAAGGTTAGTTTTCTTGCAACAACCTGAACAACCCACCTTAGCTACTTCTTATCATCTGCTTCCCATCTATTTATTTGCAAATTGATTACTCAATAACTTGATGTAAAATCTGGCCAGAGGCTGGTTAGGCTAACAAGCCTTTGCTTTCCTTGGTCTTCCTTCTCCCCTCTTCTAGAGGTATGTGCCAGTCTGCCTCTCTTGTCCTATCTGAGTTCTCAAGATGTCACTTTGATCAGCATTTTAAGCATCAAGGGTGGATTTCATAAGTGTCTGCTGACTTGAAAAACTTTATCTTCTCTCTGACTTTATCCTTTACTCTTAACTTTTTCCACTTCAACCTCACCTTCTGTCTCCCTGTGAAAGGAATTTCATTAAATATCTATTGACAATGAACCTTTCTGCTGAGGGTTGAAATAAAGAAGACATTTAACACTTTGTGTTACTATGTGTCACCTATAATTTCCTGTTCACCTATAGGTTCCTGTTCCTCTTAAGTTATAAACCTTGACTTCTGTCTTTTACTGTACTTGTCGAACCTTTACTTGTTTACCCTTTATGTCCTTCACTAGTTATAACTCATTTCTGTGCCATTTGTGTTCTGATTTTGTCTCTGCATGATAGCACTGTCTCTTTATGGTGTTCCTTAGCCATACACACACACCCCCCTTTTTGTTTTTACTTTTTTTGTAATTAAAGGTCATTAAAGGTCTTCTGGTGCAGTTAAAACAAGTCTTATAAACTCTTTCCTCTGAATTGCTGTTGTGCATTTAATATAGTCACTTTCAGTAACTGTCAGTTCTCTGATCTCTTCCATCCCTAAGATTGTTTGCCCGAGTCATGTTTGCCTATTCCCTGATTTTTTTATGTGGAATCTGTTAGTTTTGTTCTGTTCCTCACAGTCTGCCTTGCCTTAGAACAGGCAGTGAGAAACTTTGGCCAGTGGGTCAAATTCAGCTCACCAGAGCAATTAATCATGTCCAAAGAAGCCTCAATGCCCACTTTCCTAAGGTTTCTTTGGACAAAAACTGAAAGTAGACTGCAGTATGGTTAAATGGTACTGGTAGCCCATTTCCTTGTGGTGGTTCCCTTTCTATCCCAAAGTTTTGCAGCACTTTTATGTCACATGGCATGAACTGAATTGGGCCTTTGTAATCACATGATGAAGACATACATGTTCTGTCATATCCAGTTGATGTTTATCTCTTGGCTGATCAAAATACAGCTATTCTCATGGTCCTGGATATGAACTCATCATGGTACAGGAAATACTGGTATTTTGGTTATGTGCTAGATACATTCCAGGTCATGTGGTAAGAAAGCAGTCAAATGTTTTTTCATTGCATGCATAAAAGTCTATGTGGTCTGCCTTTGCCAGAAAGATTCACTGTTAGAATCTTTTCTCAGAGTACTGATTTTGTGGTCACTTTCACACACTGCTTTCTGTCTTTAGAGTTTAAGTCCAGTTTCAGTGAGTTCTTCCCTTCTAGTCAAAGCTGAAGTGAAAAGTGCCCATTCTTCTAGTAGCTTCCTCCAATTTCCGAAACACAAAGGTACTTTTAATTGTGAAAGGATGTTCACCACACATACTGTATTCCTAGCCGATGGCTGGGTAAACTCCCCCACTGGTGATTAGTTACCATCATATTAGCTCTTGGATGGTGGCTCAGGAATAAGTTCATTGAGCTCCTTATTTCTATGAGGTTTGCTGGGGATTACTCCCAAGACAGCAGCCTCATGGTTTCTGTTTGCTCCTTCCTTGCCTGCCTTTCCTCATTGCTTTCTTCATTTTGAGAACTCATTCCTGTTCTGCAGTGCAGAACCACTTATGTCGTAACTGTGGGTTCATGTGAAGACTTCCCTCCCAGGTGTTGTTTTGTTGGATTTTTATGTCTTTTTGTCTTTATTACAGCTTTGCTGAAGTTCTGTGACCTCTTATCTCCAAAGATTTATTAGTATTATTTATTTAGCAGTATTTATTATTTTCTGTGAGCCTTAGCCTCTGTTCTTCTTCAAAACCTCCCTTACTGCAGAATTTGAGTCCTAAAACTCTTTTCCCTTTTATTATTGCATGAAATCTCTCTTTTCCTTCCATTAGCTTTTTGTGGAATGCTGTCCCAGGGTTATCTTCTGTGTCTGCTAAGAAAAATTCTGTTAGGCCTATCTGTGACCCATGGCCTTGAATCCTTTACCCTTCCAGCCACAGTTAATCCTTATACATCCATGGCCAGACCTAGCAGTCTGACCCAGCAGTTTCATTACTGATCTCATGAATAGGCTTTGACAAATCTCCTTTTTTGTCTTTGCCATTGGATGCATGTGTGCTGCCCATTTCCCCGGCTGACAGGTGAGTATATCAGACAAATGTCTGTGTCATGGTGGTAGCCATGACATTTGCAGCTTTGAGACTTTTGAATCCCTTCCTTCCTGGCCAATATAGGATACCATGATAATAACCTCCATAAGCTTTTAATGGAATTCAGCTTCCTTGAACTCACTGTCTGTATGCCAGCCACAAGCCAGGTATCTCTGCCTTCTAGGACTTTCCATAATCACCCGTTTTACGTTACATGTTTCTTCTCATTATTCCATTGACCATTAGTTCAGGAGCATAAGGTTATCTTGTGGTCCAATATTCCAAGACAGTGGAAGATACGGAATAGGAAAAGGTGGAAAAATTATCATTTATTTCTGTAACTGTATTATTGAAGTGCTTGAAGTATTTTATGTTTCTCTTTGTGTTAGTGACACATTGCAAGGCTAAATTGATTAGCACTTACTTATTAAGGAGAAAATAGGAAGATGAAACTTAGAACCGCATCTTTTGCTCCCAGAGATGTTTATGGATTCTGATGTCTCATAAAATCATATGATGCTATACGTTTCCTTCTATTGCTTTCTCATTTTTTATTTTTTCTTTCTCCCAGAAGAAAGCATTTTAGGTTTGACGTCTTGGAAGTATGGAATCAATCTCTATGATGGCAAGTCCTAAGAACCTCAATGAAACTTTTCTACCAAATGTTTCCAATGGCATCAAGGATGCCAGTAAGATCACAGTAGGCATCATTGGAAGTGGAGACTTTGCTAAGTCCTTGACAATTAGGCTTATCAGATGCGGGTACCACGTGGTCATAGGAAGCAGAAACCCTAAACTTGCTTCCGAGTTCTTTCCCCATGTGGTCGATGTCACTCACCATGAAGATGCAGTAGCAAAAACAAACATCATTTTTGTAGCCATACACAGAGAACATTATGCTTCCTTGTGGGACCTCAAGCATTTACTTGCTGGTAAAATTCTGATTGATGTCAGCAATAATACAAGAGTAGACCAATATCCAGACTCCAATGCAGAGTATTTGGCATCACTTTTCCCAGATTCTCTGATTGTCAAAGGATTCAATGTTGTTTCAGCTTGGTCACTGCAGTTGGGACCAAAGGATGCCAGCAGACAGGTAAATGTTATGTTTGTATTAACTTAAATTGTTTGTAAGCTGAAGATGACAGCAATAGAATGTAAGCAGACAGAACTCATGGGATTCATCCTGCTTGACTTTATGTACCTAAAATATTGGGACTTTAGTTTAAATTTTAGTAGCCAGTAAAACTTTCAGAGTCTACTTCACCCCACTGTAAGACATACATAGTAAGTGATCCAAATTGTCCCCTGGGATACCTGTTTATCTTTAAATACTGCAGAGGAAATGTGAATACTAGCTTAGACTAGAGAGCTGACCTGTAGGTGACTACAGACAGAGGAGCTGGGTCTTAATGTCTTCTGTAGGAAATACGTTAATTTTTTCCTTATGCTCTGTACAAGGACAGAGGAGGTCTTTCCCAGTATATTTTAGTTTTTGTATTGGTTAACATGAAGTGAACTATTGAAAGAGACAGACAGAAATCTGAGGTCCTGATCCAAGGCTTCAGGAGTTAGCTGTTCTAAAAATGCTTGCATCCAATGTAACAGCAAAGTGAATGAAAGAAAATATCTAGCTTTTAGAATGCCCAAAGATCATAAATATGAGGAAACAGGAGGAGGAACATGTGTTTCTGAGTGATCATTCATTTGACCCAGATCTGCTTGGGAACATCATGTTCAAATTCGTTCCAAGTATGTTCCCCAAATCCGTCCTGCATATAGAAAAGGCAGCTTTATGTTTTTGATGTTTTGCTGAAGTGATGCAAAGGATTTAAGCCTATGCAAGAATGCAGTCCTTCACAGCTTTATGAACTCTGAGAAATGACTGGTGTAATTTGACTACTGGAGACTAAATTGAGTTTCCTGGCACTTCAGGTAGAATTCAAATGGAATGCAATTGATACAGAATTACCATAACTTTAAAAACAACCTTAGCATACTGTCTTATCCTCTTTCAGAGCAGCACTGCACTATAAATAATAAACTTCTGTCAAAACTGATCACGTTTGCTCTAATGCAGATAATCAGCAAACAGCCAACTGCAGTCCATTGTAAATTTTAAAGGAATTTTCAGGTTCTTTGTAGCAGTGTATTTTTCACTATGTAATAAAATGATCTTTAGGAGTAATTTGGCAGCTAGTTTTTGTCTTTTCTGTTAAACATTCAATTTTTGTGAAAATCTGGATTGCGAAATTAAACTAAAATTGTTATAGATGGAGAGATTACACTGTTTTCTGCTTTGCATTCCATTTATGCTACAGCTGGTTTCGGGTCGTCATTCAAGATTCCTGTATTTTGAGACACTTGTGATTTTCTGAAATGCTTTTAGACATTTTTTCAAGTTCAGTTCAGTCCTATAGACATTTCAGTTTGGGAGGTTTCAGTGTGCAGATTACCAGGACATCCCACAGTCAGTTCATTATTAACTCCAAGAAATAGCCAATTTTGTTTTGGTTACTCTTGCTAAATCAGTGTGCATTTTTTCACTTTAACTGGATTTGTATATGGTTTCATTCTCATCTTGATGATACAAGCAGGGATAACTACATTTTTAGCAGTGGTGCTGTGGTTTTGTTCTGGAGGCCCTTAAGGGTTTTTCTGTGTCTGTTTTTTTGTTGTTGTTTTGTTGTTTTTTTTAAACTTTTGAGCCTCTTTCTCTGACTACAGACAATTCACTTGACTTTCCCAACAGGTCTATATATGCAGTAACAATGTGCAGGCTCGCCATCAAGTTACTGAGCTTGCCCGTCAGCTCAGTTTTATTCCTGTTGATTTGGGGGCACTGTCATCTTCAAGGGAAATTGAAAACTTACCTCTGCGACTGTTCACACTGTGGAAGGGACCTGTAGTGATTGCCATTAGCCTGGCAACATTTTTCTTCATCTATTCCTTCGTCAGAGATGTAATCCATCCGTACATGAGAAATCAGCAGAGTGACTTTTACAAGATCCCCATTGAGATCGTGAACAAGACTCTACCAATTGTTGCTATCACTTTACTTTCTCTAGTGTATTTACCAGGACTTATTGCAGCTGCTTACCAGCTTTACTATGGCACTAAGTACAGGCGATTTCCACCTTGGCTGGACAACTGGCTCCAGTGTCGAAAGCAGCTTGGACTGCTCAGTTTTTTCTTTGCAACAGTGCACGTGGCATACAGCCTCTGCTTACCTATGAGGAGATCAGAGCGATACTTGTTCCTCAACATGGCATATCAACAGGTAAGCCAGTCTTTAGTACAGTAAGCCAAAAAAAAATGCCTTGGGTGTATGCATATGGCTTATGCATACAATATATATGTTTTCTTAATCTGTTCTACTGTTTTCAGCAGAGAATGTTATGAGTTATCTTAGCTATTGCTAGTGTTGAGTAAGAAAGGAGACTGAAAGAAACATCTGTGCATTGTGCTCACCTCATGGGTCAAGCTGCAGCCAAGTTTTTATGGTAGGAGAAATCAAGGATGTGTCCTACTTAAATCCCTGCTAGTAATATACACAAGGAGAATGTAAGATAGACAGGATACGAGCAACAGCAGGAAACTTACAAGTTTCTGAGATGTGTTGCTCTGTATGTATACTTAACATATGGGGGAAGTATGTATATCATAAGTGCATGTACAAGTGTGAAAAAGTAGGGGTAGATACTGTAATAATGCTTACAGATACATCTATGTTTACAAAATGAAAATGCTGTTAATTTGTAACATTTTGGACCAGTTGTAAAAGTATTCTGTTCATTAAAAGGTCTGTGAACAGCATCTATTACAGGCAATAGAAATTGACTGTCAGTTCCCAAAAGCAATTGGTCTTGCATAACCCTGGAACAATCTGATAAATCTGTCATCCTTTAGAGGAGGGGTCTGATGCCCCTGTCTGTCAGTGAGGTAGCTTATTGTCACCTTTAAAGTGGCAGAAAAGCAGCATTGCCTGAAAAGCAGCATTGCCATTCAGCACACAAAATCTGCAGGAAGGAGACATGTGATGGAACAGAAAGAAAAGCAGACTGAGGAAATCAAATCAAATAGAACAAATTAACAGGGATTGGGTCTAAGAATTCTAGAAGGGCTAGCATGAAAAATTGAAATTAAGAGAAAAGTGGGAAGAGCAAAACGATAAAAGGTAACAAGAAGCTAATTGTTCACACTTAGTAAAGGACCCACTGATACTTTTACTAAGAAATTATCTTGGTTTTAATAATACTGTAAAACTCTCAGGTGCTAATATTCCTAGTGAACCTTTTTCAAGACAAGCCATGTTACAATAGTTCACCTGAAAGTGGAAAAATAATTGAATGTCCAAGACTCTTAATTGTTAAGGACCCGAGTTGTTTCTTTTTGCTGCTAAAGCTCTCCAACGAGAACAGTCTTTGATGTATCTGATGTCAACAGTGAAAGAGGCTAAGTAATTTGGACTCAGCACAGGGAGCTGAAGCAAGAACAGGAAATGATGCTAAACTATTTCTAAATGTAACAAACTGAAAACAAATTGCAGGTTTACCCAATTTATGTTATAGAATTTAAGTTTCCAGGGTCTTAATAACACAGCTACATTTCCACAGTGTATAGGAATGTGCAGATTTATCTGTTTTTATAACAGAATTGTTATAAATAGTATATAATGTTAGATTTTCTTTCAACAACTTATCTAAGTTTCCATGTTTAACATATTTTAAATCTAACAAGAGCCAATACCAGCAGTAAGGAAATAGCTGTTTTTCTCCAAGACATGAGGAAACGTCTGAAATATTTGACCCCATTTTATAGTTGTCCTGTGGCTGTAGACTTTTACTCAGCAAAATAACTTATGTTGATATTTTTAACATTCTGTGGAATATTCTAAAGTCCTTTGTTTCTGCTCTTTCGTCAGGTTCATGCAAATGTTGAAAATTCTTGGAATGAGGAAGAAGTGTGGCGAATTGAAATGTATATTTCCTTTGGAATAATGAGTCTTGGATTGCTTTCTTTGCTGGCAGTAACTTCCATCCCTTCAGTAAACAGTGCCTTAAACTGGAGGGAGTTCAGTTTTATACAGGTATGTTACTTTTTAAATAAGGGGGGGTTGCTGTTAACAAGAATTCCTTGATGATTATCATGATCATGAACAAAAGCACTTTGCAACATCGTGAGAACTCTTTTTTTCCCCTCTCTCTGGTAAGTTACTAAAAACTACATATCCTTACTCAGCAGATATATTACCATGAAGGCACGTTAAGCATTTCATGAGTGTTAGAGTAGGAATTTGTGTTTTACATTTCTTGGTCTTAAATAACCCACATAGTTAAGACCAAATGAGCACTAATCTATTCCTTTTCCACTGTCAGAATTTCCTGCTGCCCAACAGTGCTTTCTCCTGCTTTCTCCATCTCACACTAGCTGATGTGTTTTTGTCCAAGCCTGCTTCAGTCTGTTCTTCTGAATTTCCTCATTTTGCTACTGCACAGCCATTGCTGTAGTCCTTGAACATTTGCAGATACAGAAAAGTCAAGTGCCTAGTCTTTATAATATCCACAGAAATTTTGTGCTGGCACAGCCTTCTGCAGTGGGGCTTTACTTAAGCAGCAAAGGCAGCCAGTCTTGCCTGCACGTCTGGAAAAGTCATTGTCAGTAGCTGCAAGCTGGATAAATGCTCTTAATGGAACTTTATAGTGCAGATCTGCCCTGACTATACAAACCAAAGACTGCAGAATGCTAAGTTGTGTGGAGGACGTCCTAAGCAGTGTTATTACTGTCAAAAGTACAAGCACAGAAATATGGTGACAGAGGCAATTAAGGGCTTGGTAGAAGAAAATACTAGGAGTTTATATCAGTACTTCTTAGCTTCTGTTTTGACTATTACATAGAAAGATAAGATAGAAAATAAGCAATAAAATACATTTTTGAAAAATCTGAGGAGAATCTATATAGCATTTCCCTCCTGTTTCTTTTTCAAGAATTGTTGTAGTTCTCACCAGTAAGCCTCATGAAGAAATGAGGGATGTGATTACTTGTGCCCTTTTTGCTGCTGGCAGTGATTATAACAGCAATAACTTCAGGGCAGTCATACTAACAAAAATCTGCAATAACATATTTGACCATCAGGTTTGATAGTATTGTTTACTGCCCAAATTTCTTACCAGAACTTCTGTTCAGATACTGCATATGCTATTTTTGTATCCCCAAGCAGTTGTCTGATTGTTCTGTTTCTTATGCAATACTTTTGGGATCAGATTGTTCTTTTTTAAAAAAGGGTACAGCCTATCTAAAATGTACCAATGTGGCTTTGAAGCCACTGGCAAAAGCAATGCATAAATATTGGCAAGTGAAAAAAACACGGTACCAATCTTAAGAAATTAATGAAAGTATTTTCCTTTTTATACCATTATATCTCCGAATCCTTGCAAATTATATTAGCTCAGATACTCTCCTTTTCCTAGAAGCTGGTTAATCTTGAAGTAGAAAGAATTAATTATTTCACTTAACTATAGTAGACCCTTAGGCTGCGTTTTTCTTTGCCTCTCTGTTTACTGGAACTAACCCAAATCTTGGTAGCCACTTACCTTTCTTAATATTCATTCTCTGTTTTGATTATTTTCCTCAGAAGTTTCCTAACCAAGTTAGTCATTACATCCGTTTTGGCCCGAAAGAGTTTTTCTTCATTTCATCACCATCAGAATTCAAAGCATAGTAGTCTTTTTTTTTTACCATGAGAAAAGGAAAGTCATGGTTAATGCATTTAACTTAAGTAAGCAAATCAATACAACTACAGAGTTCTTAAAAGGGCAGGTTCATAGAAACAGCGAATGACCACTATTCGCACTACCTTCTGTGGCATGCTCTAGATTACGTGATAAGAGGTCCTTTGCAAGAGGCTGTGGGAACCCCCTACTTCAGGTTTCATCCAGCACTACTTGTTTATGATAAACTGCATCATTGTGCCATTATGCCCAAGTCCTGCAGTCCAGATATTCCCATTAACCAGTAGACAGCAGCTGGTAAAGAAAAGTAAGGGGTGGTTTATGCTAACATCAGACAAGTGGATGTAGGCCATTGTGAGGAAGAGGCAAACTGCACCTCTCAAAGCAATAAAAATCTGGAGAGTTAGACCCAGATCTCTTCCAGCAGAATTAGGGCATTCATAATCATGAATCTTGGAAGTGATCTACCCTCACAGTTAAGAAACAGAGAACTTAATTTCCAATCACAACTAATGTTATTCCAGGAACTTCACTGGGATTGTTCCTTATTTGACTTGCATTACTTAGAATTTTGACAAACATCATCTTCATTTCAGCTTTGACTAAGGTGTATAGATGCTAGTAGAGATGTGTTGTAAATCAGTGTTCAGTTCTGTCTGTAGTTTTCAGCACATGTGAACTTAAAACCACACGTTGCTAATTTAAAAGAGGTTTTAACTTTATGTCTAATAGAAATGTTAAAATAATGGGTTAGAGGTGTCAGATGAAGGACAAAGTACTATTCTCTCTTCTTTTTCTTCTGTTTTCTCTTTTTTCAAAGTCTACACTTGGATACGTTGCTCTGCTCATAAGTACTTTCCATGTACTGATTTATGGATGGAAAAGAGCTTTTGAAGAAGAATATTACAGATTTTATACACCACCAAATTTTGTGCTTGCCCTTGTTCTGCCTTCCATTGTAATTCTAGGTAAGATTGTTTTACTTTTGCCATGTGTAAGTAGGAAACTGAGGAGAATTCGAAGAGGATGGGAGAAAAGCCATGTTATCGAAGAAGCAAGCGGGTCTGTTCCACATCTCTCCCCAGAAAGGATAACTGTGATGTAACAATAGACTAATATTTGTCAGCACTGTTGTAGGTGTTTTGATTTGGGGTTTTTTTGGTCATAAACTTGTATTTTTAGAAGTTTAGGTAAAGTATGAGGACTTGCTTGGTATATAGTACAAACTCTCAACCAAACTATGAGAAATTCATAGCTAGAAGACTACTACTTCAGATAACTACAAAAATATTTTTGTCTTGAATTATAGAGGGCAGATGATTATGAAATCAGAATTTTTTAATGCTCCTTTGCACAGTTATGTCACAACAGTATTTCCATATATTTCTTTGACTTAGAGCGTATGTGTCAGAGTGCTATTTATTAATGCCACATTTTCCGGGCAGTGTTTCTTTTATTAAAACCACACTTCTGGGTTAGTGAGTTCAGAATATAGACTAATAGAGTTAATAATTTAGGAAATAATCAGGTTTTGAAACAAATTAATTTGTAATTATGTATTGCACATGTACAGTATATTTATTTGTATGTGGTCACCATTCCATGATTTGAATATGCAAAAATCAGTTTCAATTATGGTGTTATTATACATATTGTAAGCAAATGGTATTGTAGTTACAGGCTCATTTCTTTCAAAGTGTCAGATAGGATTTTAGACCTTTGGCATCTTTTTATTTTCATACATCGTATAATGAAAATTCAAAAGAGTGTTATACATGTATAGAAAGACTTGCATATATGTGTGCAAGCAACTAATTTTTGATTTTAGCATGATTTCAAAATGTCAGAAAATATTTTAAAGAAGAAAAAAAAGCTGAGAAATCTGCAACAATAAAAATCCATTTTCACTGTGAAACTTCCAATATGTTGGTACAGCAGGGAAGCATCACAATACTCATGTTTCTACATGGAGTTTCAGTTATTATGTATGAATTTCCCAGAGTCTGTCTTAAATTCTTAGTATATTTGTGCAAGTCCAATCTTCTATTTTTATATAAAAGTCTTACTTTTACAACACATATCTCTGGGATATGCCTGAATTTTTGTGAAACAAAATTATTATTCTTATACTTAAAAATGCATTTGTCTATAAAACTTGACATTTGCATTTCCTGTGGGATTCAAAAGAATGTTCACAGTTATTTATTACTACTGCTTTGTCAGGTTCTACTCTTCTCTAACAAAATAGCCAAACTCAACTCATACCTTCAGGCTACTCTTGCTTGGTCAGCAAAACCTTTACTTCAGTGAATCAAAATGTATATTTGGTCCTAATTTTCTTTACTTGATTAAAGTATATTTTTCTTATCTGTATTTGGACTGTTTAGGATCCCTGACTTTCTGAGCTAAAGCTTCACTTATCACTGATTACTTTGCAAGAATTTATCATTGTTATGATGCATCAGAAATATACAGTACCTAGAGCTTGAATTTCTCTTTAAACATCACTAGTCCTGTAAGTCTCATTAAATCTGTTTGTAATGAAACTCACAGCTTCACACAAGAAGAATCTAGAATCAAACTCTGCCACCAGTTACACCAGCCTAAATCTAAAGAGTTCATGTTTGTTTTTCTAAAAATTTAATTTCAAATTCAAAAAAATCTAGTATTTCATTTTCATTGTAGTATCCATATTCCCCAGACTTACACCTGTGTATATTCTGGGTTTGTTGTAAATCAAGAGGCAATTGAACTTTCTTAATTTTAAGTGTTTTCAGATCTAGACATGTAAAATAAAATATTTGCATGATTTTTTCCAGAAAAAAAGCATTTTTATGTCTTTAAACATGTTTTGTATTGAATGAGAGGTCATGAATTATTTTGTTTATGTGAAGGTTTGTGAAAACACTTCTTGGAAAAAAATATATTTCATGTGTGTCAACAGAAATTTGAGAAGTTTTTTTCAGTTCACAAATTTTCGATTTCAAGTAGCTGGAAAACTCAAGTTTATCCTTTTTAAGCTATGGTGGGGGGAAGCAATTGGAAAGAGAAAATTCATTTTATTTCCCCTTTTTTTTTTTTTTTAAAGTAATCCATAACAGCTATAATTGACTAAGGTCTTTGCGACTTGTCTCCAATAGCTGACAAGTGGCAGATGCTTCCAAAAAGAGGGCCTATGTCCAATGATTCTTCTTCTGACATGACCACTCAGCCTCTTGGAAATCAATAATTTAGGATTTATTTGAGACAGATGCTGCCTCTGAAATACTGTATTTAATAGCTAAAACTTACCCAGGTTTTTACAGGAAAAGAAAGGAAAAGATGGCAAACGAAAAAAAAATCTATCAAATTAATTTTTTAAAAGTGGCATTATTTCTTTTTTCCAAAAACAAATAAGTTAGTTTCAGGTTACTAATTTTATCATCCTTCCTCCAATATGCAGCTATGTCAGTGATACTTGTGGTGATACACAAGCACATTACTATTTTCTCAAACATTCTAGACATTAAGTGAAAAACCTGTCATTGTTGGAGATAGACAGGAGCCTAAACCAGTACAAATGAGATTTTCATATAAAAATGATGAACAAGTGACAATTACAGCTGCTAACTTACTTTGCCTCTCTGTAAATACACTCCAATCCAGAAAGCTATGTATTTCTTAGAAGGCTTGCAGAATTACACATAACTTAATGTCCTGGCCAGTTTCCTATTCCATTATTGCAGTGGGAAACCACAAAAAGCTGAGGCACTTGTGCTTCAATCGTTTAAATCAAATTAATTTAAACAATCTTAGAATACACAAAACCTTGGAGTATTTTAATGGGATAAATACCATGCTACATTCTACCCCAGTCCTATGTATGAAACCTCATTGAAACACCTAGAATGGTATAACTGAGAGCAGAATTTCATACCTCTGAACAAATTTAGAACAGAAACCATTACTGTTGGCAATCTGATTACATTTTAGAAGTAAATATGCTGCTATTATTTTATAGTAATTCTACACTTCTGTAGAAAAGGTAATTAACATTCATGTTCCCTACAGTTATCTAATTCATTTGATTCAATAGCGATAATGTTGCGGAACTAAGATACTGTACTAAAGGAAAATTACTGTCAAAAGTCTATATGTCAAAGTCCATATATTTTGTACTATAATGCTATCACACAGTAGATACAGAAATGTATTGGCCCTCCTTCCTATGCAAAAAGTCATTTCATCATTGAATTTCTTCAAGAATGTTTAAACTGTTAAATTTTGAACTGTCAAAGGTGTCTGGAGAGAATTATGATTTGTTGTTCCTTTTTCCAAACTGTGTGTGTAGGAAAGTAAATATGTGTTTTGATTTTATAAGTTACCTGAAAGGTTGAAATACTGAATTGTTAATAAATAGATGATATTTTTAGATCAAATATATGAAGACATTTTGTTAAATATTTGTGCTACGCTATTACATACGGTTTCCTGTTAGGCCATGTATTTACTTCTAACTAGAACAAGTTGACTTGTGATGTAATACTTTGTAGTATTCATTAAAGACCAATTCACTCTAACATTACACTGTATATATGAAAGTAAAGTGGCACTGGTGCGTTTACTACACATATGTATATTATATGTTTAGTCACATAAGGAATCTTTATTCATGTGATTAAACACATCGATTTCCGTAGAAGAACTCACATTAAGACTTAGCATTGGAAAAAGACCTGAGGCTAAAAGTTTTGTTTAGATTGCATAAATATAAACAACTAAATTCATTTAGATATGTTAGTTACTTAGGATAATAAATACATACTATGAGGAATAGCCTGCTATAAAAATATTTTTGTGTAGCTTTATATAAATTGCTTACTGCCTGAAGAAAAATGAATAATGAAATAAACTTCATTATTACTTCACCACTGTTCAGTAAAAGAAAAAAAAGCTTGATATGTAATACAGAATTGTACACATCATATTAGAAAAATTGAGACCTCTGTGTATTTAGCAACAGGTTGTTTTATATGGATATTAAGGTATTTTTTTCTTAACATTGTCTAAAATACGGTCCTATTACAGGTTCCATATGTGTCTAACTTTATCTTATGATTCTATTAACTGTGGCAACCACGTACAAGTTAATTAAGTACCCAAGGTCTTGAATTATTTAGAGATTAATTATTTTGTAATCATTTTGCACGTTCTTTGCATATCTAGCTTGTGGTAGTGGTTACTGTGAATTGGTGCTATGTTTAACTTTTTGTTCCAACATTGTGCATTATATGATGTGCCAACGTGAGAAAGTGCATTTGTATTTTTATTTGGCATTAATTGTCTATAAAATAGTGTGTCTCAGTCTGTGTCTGTATGTTACTAAGTATACATGCTGCCCAACTGGCACTAAGGAAAATTATTAATTAATATAAGGCAATGAGTTCCCAAGTGGCTATAAATTTCACAGGTATGAATATAGTTAGGAAACAGCTTTCCTCTGAATGTGAAGATTTCCTCTGAAAGTTAGATATATCAGGTGCATAAAAATTAGATAGATTGAGTTTTTCAGTGTAATATTTTCATATATGCAGTGGAAATGGATGCATATGCATAGTTCCTTTCAGACAGTGTATCTCCTAATACACACGGTTTTTATTTCTGGCTGTTCATCGTGTAGTATTTTTTAACAATGTAATGAGTAATGTTGCAGTACTGATATTGTATCATTATATGATACTGCTTGAATTAATTAGATTACAGCCTTTAAGAGAAGTCACACATTGAACTGACTTGAGCAATGATCTCTGTCATTATGTATTGTTTCTCATGCCTTGCTGGCAGTGTCTTCCAGTGAGCATAGTACATCTCTCTTGTGCAATATTCTCTTTGTAGTTGTGTTTGTCAATTTGTTTGTGCTGTCTTTCTGAACAGGGCTATTATAAATTACTAGTAATGCTTTTATCTATTTTTCCATAGACTGTGTTTTACACAAAAATCAATAAAAAGTCAATGTTAGGTATTTGCCTTTTTCTTCTGTGCTTATACATAATAAATTTTAACGTGCTTGTCTTTATAATATGTGCATGCTGTGATCAACATGTTTTCTGAGAGGTAGAACTTGAATATGAGTTCATTAAAAAATTCTAA